CCCCAAAACCCCAAAACCCCAAAACCCCATCATATTTTTTTATTTATGAAAATATTGTGATTACATAAAATTATTCATTATTGTAGCGTTTAAATATGAATTTTCAGACATTTCATCACTCCAAGTAATAGCAAAAAGAATCTCTTTTAGAAAATTAAAGAAATTTCCACTAGACTTAAAAATCTCATGGTCTAATTTAAAATCAAAAGAACATGGGCATAAGGAGCCAGATGAATGACACTGCAGTTTGCAAGTTATAAGGGGCAAAGACCCAGACCAGCAGTAAATATCTGCTATCAAATCTTAACTGCAATACTGTTGAGACAGCATCTAAAAGTAGTGGAAGTTGTACAAGTTTGCATAGAGGAAATGAATATGGAAAATAATAAGATGCTGACACTTCTCAATAAATTAACATTAACTAAATCAAGTAAATCCATAGATAGAGCTTCTACTAGAACTTAAAGCAACAGTCTTAGAACTAATCATCTTTTACAAATATTAATTTTCTACATGCTTAACCTCTCCTTGAATCTCAAAATAATGACAATGAAGTTTTATATGAACATGAAACTCCAAAATATCAACAATAGATAGCATAGGGTGAATAGATTGAAAAACTTAAGCAAAATCTATTCAATGAAATCAACAGACAGATAGTTTATCATCAAAATGAAAATAGATGTAGCTTTAACGGTGGTAGTATAGGCTAAATACATAAAATTAACAATAGAAACTTGCATTCCTTAAATGGAAATAGCAGTTCAGGCAATAGATAAATTAAAAAGGGCTGTGGTCGATAGAAACTTTCAGTTTATGAGAGATAGTTACTTTGGGATTAATCCCGTAAAAATAAAATTTAATAACTGAGGGAAACAATCAATATGAGTGAAGTCTAAGATTGCACTTTCAAGCCTCAACTTATTTCTCATATTGTATCTAGATAAACTGAAAATGATGAGGTTGATTATTCTAACCAATAAAATGCAATATAATCTATAACTTTTAACAGCAATAATGCTTATGATCAATTCAATCATCAGGCTATCTCTAATCAAGATTTGAATAGAAGTGGCATTTAAAGCAATCAAAAGACAAGCAAGCGATCAATTACAAGATGTAAATCCTCATAGAAAGATAGCTCTGTGATTGAGGAGCAATAGTTAAGATTTATAGAAAAGCATATAAATAGATTGTCACTAGCTAAATTATAGAAGGAAATGTATTATTAATAGATAGACTAATAGCCTGGCTCTGGTGTACATTGGAAGAACAAATTAACTTAGCCTTCAGCTCCAAATATAACAGGACTTTCCAATAACAATAGTAGAAGATAGTCTAAACTGTCATTGTTCATGAACTAAGAAAGTGCAACTATCTAGCCTAGAATTGATAGCTAAGATAAAGAAAACATAGTCGATAATTATAGTACTTTAAATAGAAAACTTCAAAGTACTTCCTAAAAACGGATCAAATCATTGAAGAGAGCGATTTCTCCATAGAACAGCTCTTATTAAAGTGCATAGAAAAGGCATAATCATTACCCTAATACTTCAATAGTTGATAAAGTGCTAGCTGGAAGCAATTAAAAATTAAAGTTTTACCAAGACAAGGTTCAAAATAATGCTGAAACTATAGTCGATGAGCTAGAAAAAGCTGGAGTTTATCATAGGTCAATAAGTACTTTATCTCAGAGTAAATAAACTTAAGGTAGCGTGGTTTAAATACTTAATAATAATGGAGAAAGTTTTGTAAATCAATATGAGAGTAATTTGGGTTAAGGAACATTAACTCCAAAGCCAATTTAACCTATTTACAATTCTTAGTCTAGTTGTTGCTATACTAAACAGTATATGCAAATACAGAGTCAGCAAAAAGAGCTCGAAGATAGAATGAAGAGATTCAAATAAAAAATATCACACAAGTAGGAAGAGGTTGTAAACTCAAAAATCATTGGCATTATACATTAGCATATACAGTCTTTAGATATTTGAAGCAATGTGCAAAGAGAATGTAGATAGCAATTTAATCTAACTGACTAATTGATTTACTTTACTTTATAATGAACTTTATAATGAAGTTAACTTGCTATCTTTATTAAAAAAATTATACAATTATTAATAATTTAATCCTAAATCAGGTTTACCATAAAATTAATAGAAAATAAGTAGAATAGAGAATGGATAAAGAAAAAATGACTTTGAACAAGACTGAAGAGACTTAGTCTTTTGTTACATAATAGCCAAATCAAAACAGCTAATATGGAGACGAGATTCCCAAGATTCATAGGAAAAAAGTATGTAAAATAAGTGATGATTTAATCTCTATAGCAATCGTCATCTAGATTAAACCCTATACTATGATGAACTTTGTATCAAGCTTTTATCTTTGCCTTGACATTTTGCAACTATGGAGTGTTACATGGAACTCGAGCTGCTTGGAGTAATGCTACACCCTAAATAGAGTCTCAATACGATTATTCATCTAAGCTCATCTCTTACATGAACTCTACTTTTCTCTTCTTTTATGCCACTGCTGGAATATTCTCTGGCAATGTGGCAGACAGATTTAAGAAAAACCAATTCATTTTCGTTACTTACGTGGTAATAGGATTAAATATTATTCTAGTTGGTAGCCAGCAATTCTTCGTTCATCAGTAGATGTGGCTATATTTCTTATTGAGAATAATAGATGGGACATTCTAATCTATTGGCTGGTCTACTAACTTATCAGTGCTAAGTAATTGGTTTCCAAAGCACGGTAGAGGTTTACTTATAGGGTGCTGGGCTTCGAATGCTAATGTTGGAGATATCGTTGGAGCTTAGATATATAGATCTGCTATCAAAGATGATAATTCTAACTGGGGGACAGGAATCATGATTAATGGAACTATAGTTGTGATTTTTGCATTTCTTAATCTATTTTTCTTGATAGAATTCCCTGAGAAAAAGGGGATCAAAATAGAAGAAAATTCTCATTTGTTTTAAAAAGTAGAAGAAATAAAAGCAGAAGAAGCCACTACTAGTAGTAATGACAAGCAAAGCATTGGCTTTTTGAAAGCATTAATGATACCAGGAGTATTGATATTTTCTATAAGCTTTTTCCTTATAAAGTTTTCAATGTATGGCTTCTATTATTGGCTTCCTAATTATATCTAAAATGGCTTAGGTTACAGCAAAGACACCTCAGCTAATATATTCAGTTTATTTAGTACTGGAAGTATCGTAGGTAATATCTTACTAGGTCTCACTACAGATTTTCTTCCATACAGATCTCCTGTATTTCTTATTGGAACTACTCTAGCCTCCCTGATGACTTTAGCTCTCACTATTTGGAATAGCAATGATGTAGTTATCATCTCAGTTTTGATGTTTTTCCTTGGATTTTCACTAAATGGGTCTACTATAGTTATTGCTGCTATTGAATGTGATTTAGGAAAACAATAAGCACTGAAGGACAATGAAAAAGCTATGGCTACTCTATCAGGTATTATTGACGGAATCGCTGGCTTTGGAAGTATTTTAGGTCAGATTTTGATAGGAGTAGTTAAGGATAATTCAGGATGGAGGCAAACCTTCTTAATGCTAACAATAGTTACAGCTTTAAGTGGCATTCCTTCAATATTCTTTATTGCAAAGGATTACCGATAATATAAATAAAACAAAATTTAAGACAAAGACAAGCTAAAATCAAATGATTAATCTAATAATTCATCTTAGGATGAGTCGTAAGTGTATTGAATTTTAGAAATATATTTAAACCAAATTCACTTAATAAATCTTAATAATATCACTTCAATGACTGCTTTATTTTTTGCTCATCCTTAGCATTTATCTTCAACAAAGCTTCTAAGGCTTCTCTTATCAAGATGAAGTTGTAATGGCCACCAGCATTAGATATACAAATGTCAGTCTCCTTATGATCATAGACAAATGCAAAGCTGAAGAAATCTACCTTTTTGCATTTACCCTCATAATCATTCCTCTGATCTCTTATGAATGTATTTTCTCTTTTCAATCCATCAATGGAGGTGGAATCGAAAACGCTCTAGCATTACTCTTGTATTATTCTGAGTGGTTCTTTTTCATTTCTTAATAACTTAACTGCATCTTGTGTTTCTTTGGGAATCACAAGTCTAGATTTCTTTAAATTGATTGATAAATCTACCTTCTTAAGATCATCTAAAGGATTAATAAAATCTAAAGCTATTCCTTTTTTTGACTTTGATATCTTCATTATTCTTATTGAATAACCTATTAATTCAGGTGTCAATCTTTTATTATCTGCTATCATATTGTATTTCTATTACTAAGTTACTGAAGTTAGCAGTTTTGTATCAAATGTCTTCTTATAAACTTCCATTCCATTAATTAGAGGCATAATTTTACTCATAATATTTGGATTATTTGGTATAATAATGCTTTTCACTAAGGACTCATTCTGGTTTTAATTGTTTTCTTTTTTATTGTCACCATTAAAAATAGCTGGGTCATGAGAGTAGGGTTACGATCCTCTTTTAGAAGTGAATTTACTTGTTAGACATTCCAAAGTTAGAGTCTTGTCTTCAATATTCGTCTCGCATTATCCTTTTTAAAGGTCTAAGGTTTCATCCTCCATAAATTATTTATATGTTTCGAGGCTCATTACATCATTAACTTATGAAATCTATTAGTAATCACACTTGCTGTTATTCTTGTTCATCAACTACTACAATGTTATTAAGGTAATTCTTTTCTGATCAATTACAATAGAAATATCTTTAATCTTCTAGTTTAATTTTTCAATGGAAGGTTTAACTTTTTCCTCCAATTAACCCATAAAAGAGTTAAGCTGCATCTGCCTCTCAGACAACTTGAAAACCTCCATTTTCTTTAGATCTGTGAGACTATTCATTTATTTCGAAATTGAGTTTATTAATTAGACTTTTTCTTGGATGATTCTGAGGTTTGTTTGCATCTTCTCTTGAGTTTCAGTTATTTTAAAGTCGAAATGAGCCTTATTTATCTTTAATTTTTGAATTTTAACCAAGTCTTAATCTTCTGGATGCTCAGAGTACTTGTAAAGATCTCTTAGTTTTTACAGCAGAGACTCTTTGCTATTAAGATTCTCTAATAATATTTGATCTTGATTCTCAATTAAAGCACCTAGAGTTCTACATTCTGTTTCTAAATTGAAAATGTGATTCGTCTCATAAAACTCTATTTGCTTGTATAACTCATCTATCAGCTGTTTTTCAGTTTAGATTTCCACCAGAACTACTGGTTTCTTGGTGTTAATCTTCTCAAGTTTTTAAACCTTTTCCTTCTTCCATTATATCTCCTCATTGATTCTAGTGATTCTAAGTGCATTTCCCCTGATATCTTCATGAATCATCATGTCTTACTCAACTTGAAGCTTTTTAATTAACTCCAACTCTTGCAAGTGTGAATCAATTTGCTAGATTTTCTGAGTGTTTTCCTCAATCTACCTAATTTTATGCTTGAAATTCCCATTCTAGTCTCTGGTGCAAATTAAGCCTCTAATGAGCTAATCAATCTGCTAAGTTTTATCTGTAAATTCATGATTAAGTTCTTTTAAGTCGAAGTTCTCTTTCTCAAGTTGTCCAATATCATCTTGAAGCCTGTTTTTATCTTTGGATAATTTAGTAAATTAAGCTTAATACCTAATATCAAGATCTTTAAACTTCTCTTGAATTTAATTAAGCTCATCAGTGATAAGCTTTTCGGTCTACTACTATTTCAAGTATTTTTCTTTGTGTTAGTTAAGGTATTTCTATTTTTTCTCATTTAATGTTTATATTTGCAAGTAGAGATCTCTTAATTAGGTTTTTACTAGGTCTGATTAGTCCTGATTTATGCTATTGGACTAAACAATAGACTAACTTTGCGATGTTTATAAGATTTTAGCAGTTGGTGATCTTATTGTTTGTAAGCTAGACTTAGAAATGCTTGATTGATACTGGGTAGATGGGGATTTTAAAAGATTAGGTCTGACCCTATTTTTTGAGGTGGGACTGAGGAGTTTTTCACTCATTTTAATTTCGAAATAATTTTTAATTCTTGCTGTAACAGCTATTATAGCCTGCAGGGGTTTTGGGGTTTTGGGGTTTTGGGG